GTGTTGCTGCCCGTTTATAATTTTTAATATATTGTAATAATTTTTTATAAATCTTTATATTATATTAGACTTCGAAGTGTTATAATGTAATACTTGCTTATAAAATTGAATTCACTTTTTATAATTTGCAAAGCAAAAGGCAGAAGATTACCTTAATGAATTGATATCAAAACTAAAATTTATTCATAAATACTTTTATTATAATTAAAATTTTAATGTTTTATTGTAACCAACTATATGTGATTCGATAAAATTCTTATGATTTGAAAAACGAAATTTTATATTTGTGAAAAGTTTTGTGCCTTTCTAGCATACAGTTTATGCATTATTACAAATAAATTATATACAAGATGAATCTAAAGAGCTATTACAAAATTTATTTAGGTATATGATTGTCCAAGATTTATTTTCATAGAATTGTAATAGAACGATAATCAGTTAATAATATATGCAGATCGCGTGCGTTTCTTCGGCTAAATGACACAAATAATCGAGCAAGGACGATAACAATGGATTGATAGGAAACATTCACGAAAGCATGCGAGCTATTTAATGGCTTTTCCGTTAGTAATCAGAGATACAGCGTGTAGTAGTGAGTAAAGAATAAGAATTGTCGTGTAGTTATTCTTCCTTATTATCCCTTTCTCTGACTTCCTTATCGATTATTTCTTAATGCGGGTAGGGAGACAGTGCAAAAAGTATGGATGGAAAAGTTTTGTTGTAAGTTAAGAATTTAAGCTAGAGGCAACCATACCCGATTGGAACGATGGCTCTTGTACATTTTGTCGCGGTGTAGCGGTTCACCGATATTTGAAATCTGATCTGCTTTAAATTAATTAAAAACGAAAAAAATTGAATAATTATTGTTAATGAAGTCGAATATTTCTTCGTAATTCTCAACTATGTATAAGTGACAGCACAGTGAGTATATTTTTTTGCATTTACTTATTGTCTGTGTGTTTCTTGCTAAAATGTTAATTAAAACTGAAAAGCTCTACTTTTGTTCGTATATTTTTTTTAGAGTTTTGTAAATTTTTAATTAAATTAAAAATTTTCGAGTTTGTGGGTTTTTTTATATTAATGTTTACATTGTTTATAATAAAAATAATTTTGCCATTAATATTAATTTAATATCGATTGCTTTGTATTTTGATTTAAAAATTTTTAGAAAGGGATTTTATTATTTTGAACAATGTTCCTTAAATTCTACATTAATATTTATTGATTGAGTGGTTTCTAAACCTTAATACTCTGAAACAGATGTTTTAGATAAAGAGACGACGATATGGTTCATCATCCAAAAGGGCAGCCAGTAGTACGGCGAGAGTCTCTTATACGAAACACACTTTTAGTAAATGAAGCAACCATTCACGTGAAAAATGGAAGTTACAATAAGGCCATATTTTTGTACAATCAAGTAAGTTTTAAATTTATTATTTAATATATTTTTTATACTTTGGGGGATATGAAAAAAAAGTATTTAAATAGAAATATAGAAATTAATAACCGACGAATTTCAATTAATAACCCCCTTATCAATATATCAAGATTGAAGAACAAAGTTGTAGAGAAACAAGAATTTTGGGGGCACATTATGTAACGAAAAATATAGATAATTGAATATTGTTCTATGATAATTAGCGCAATGAAGCGGAAAGAAATGCATAAATTATTAGATTATATTTGAGTTTAGAAGATATCAATGTGAAGTGTACAACTTGTGGGATAATTTCTTTAAAATAAATGGACCAGCAACATCCATGACGTAAGAATATCATTAGATGTAAACATTCTCGTCGTGGATGCGCAATTGTATTCAGTTATCATTATAAAAATGTTACACTTGATATTCTTGCATCATGCCTCATTTAACATAGAGTTTTCGTTACATGTACTATAAAATTTTAGAAATAAGATCGTGTATTTATTGATAAAAATGCGTTCTGAATATGGACTAGAATTTTTCATAAATTATTCCAGCAATATTACTGCAACGTTACAAAGTTACTGTAATATTTATTACTGGAACGTTGCAATATACTGCTGCATTATAATATTATTGGAACTTTTCAATGTTGTTATAATCTTAAACAGTACACAATATTTATAAAATATTTACAAAATATTTTTAAATATTTATAAGACTTATTTTAAATATTTTGTAAATATTTTTATGGTTAGATTTTGCACAAATTAATATTTATTATAATAATATTATGAAATATTTATTGCAAATGTTATAGTAAATGATATAAAAATACTTAATAAGACATTATATAATCAAAGTAAAAAATACTTACTAAAAATATTTATATTTATCATAAATATCGCATAAAATATTTAGTCTATATTTTAATAAAATGTTTAATAAAGTTTTATATAAAATATGTATAAAATATTTATATAACATTTAAAAAAATAGTAATAGATTTTATCATAAATATTCTGGGATATTATTGGAATAATTTGTGCTGTATTAGGATCTATCTTAAGAATCCAAATCTTTACAAATGTTTTAGACGTATTTGCAAAAAACTTCTTTGTGATCAGGTAGACTGAAAAATTATAAAAGGTGCATTTGCTAAAAAAATATTAAAAAAAAGATTTTATCATCATACGATCACTTCTTTGTCTTTAAAAAGCTGTGTTATAATGAAATTCATTGCCAATGTTGAAAATCTACTGTCACGTAACATAAACTATTAATTTGTAGGCTGGCAGTGAATTTGGAACACAGCCAAATAAGTGAACGAAAAAATACGTTATCAAACTTTGGCAATCTCAAGAATGTTCCATATATAATTCAAATATACAGAGTGTTCTTGTTCTTTTTTTACATTTCTGAATTTCACAAGGGTAGAATTAGCATATTTGACTTATGCTAGTGCTGTTATTCGTTTCTAAGGAAACGAGTCACCTATTTTAAGGTGTCGGCAACCACACGTATCTTGGCACGTAGACGAAGATCATCTGTTCGCGTTTCCTAGCTGAGAATTCCTCGATTTCTGCTGTTACGTGCAAAGTAAAAACATTTGAAAAAGGAACTGAGAGTTTTGCGAAGTAGATCATTGTAAATTCCTATTGTACAATATTGTAATATAATTAGATAAAATATTGTTAAAATCGACGAGTGAAGATGAGCGACGTACCGCAAACCGTCGCTGAGAACGCAATGTCTGCGAGCGCGATGGAGCATCACGTTATGGACATCCTGAATCCTGGCTTGCACCACCATGACCTGCTGCAAAGCTACGTGCGTGTGGAAGTCTGCTCCGATTCGAAGCAGGACCCTGAAGAGTTCGAAGAGCCGTGTAAAGAAGTTCATTCGAGTAAACATCTAACAGCATTGAGCGGTGACAAGGCTCGTTATGCTCATGATAAAGGGAAGAAGGGTAACGACAGGAAGGAAAAGCAGGGGCCTGACACCGCTATCGAGGAGATGAGAATACAGAAGTCGAAGAGAAAGTGACGCCAGCGTGACGGCGAAGGCCGTCGGCAGGAAGAGGTGTACACCGATAAGGATCGCGCAGCTGCTGTGAACATGGGTACCACGGACATAAAGCAGTCTCTGAAGATAAAGCAACGCCAGGATCGCAGCAAGAGTTTGCAAATCCCAGAGGAAACCGAGCCCGGAGCGTTGCTGACGCTTGGTCTACGCGAGATGCGCTTTGGCGACGTTAATATCGCTGTTAATTGCATTAATAAGGTTTCTACTCGTTTGCCTCGTTATACGATATGATTTCTTGTTAATTTTTGGCGGGCACAATCGATGAGAGTGATTTATGTCTTCCGTGCATGGTCGTGCATGCGCGCATGAATAAACGTGACTCTCCGTAATAAGCGAATAAATCGATCGTAACGATTTATATTATTGTATATAAGATTGAAACGGACGTAATAATTGCGGGGATTGTTATCGTTATTGATTTCGAAAGAAATATTGTCTAAGTTTAAAAAGATTGCATAATCTATATATACATTCTATTCTATTTCTATAATATACATAATTGATTTGTTAATTTAAAAAATTGGCATCTATATATAATTTGATGCAATAGTGAAAATTAATTCTTCTCAGAATTTTTACATGAATTGAAACACGTTTCAGAAATACTGAGAAAGTTTACATCTTTTCTTAAAATTTTTCATGTAAATGAATTCTGAAGTATTCTAAGATTTTTTATTTTAGAATTTCTGAAAAAATACTTTTCCCTATTTAATAAG